GCCCGCCACAATGCCTGGCCATTTTTTTGGTTGCAGCCGTCATTGTTGTTTGGCGGGTCTGGGCTGGGGACTCGAACCCGCCACCTCAGGTGTATGTGGCTGGCGCCTTAGCCGGTTGAGCCACAGGCGCCGAGCCTACCTGGTGATTTTTTACAATAATCCCAATTTCTTTATCTTACCAACCTGATGAAATCATGATTTCTGGGTAGAGTCCAAGTGTCCACTTTTCTTTTGCCCTGGGTATAGACGTGAATCGGGAATCTGTGCTTCTAAACATTCAGTTCCTCCTCCTCCCTTTTCCCATACCATCTGATTGTTTTGTGAATATAATTTTTTGGATATGAAAGGAACATATGTAAGATTTTCTAAAACCAATGTACTAAAATTGAAAATTACCACACTGACAGTAGTTAGCAGTTTTCATAATTTAATGAAAAAGTATTGGTAAAAAGGTGACATCTGAAAAAAGACTGAGTTCATCTTGGAAAACTGGACAATATAACACAAAATGAGAAAAAATAACAAAGAAGGTTAAGAGGTAATACTTCAAACAACGACAAAATGTAACAAATACATTTTGGGGCAATTGAAATTTACACAACTGAAGTCTCCTTCATTTACCTAGGAAAATTCTGTAAAAATATTATTTTATTTCCCTGACTGGAATGATATTTTAGTCAATACTCTCCTAATGGTATTACATATGAAATTTGGCTGAAGCACTGTTTTGATATTTGCTTTCCTCCCACTCACTCGTAATTGAAAGCCATGAAAGGACATAGGCTACTGCATTGGCCTCTGACATAGTAATTTATTATACAATACAGCTCCATTATAATTTCATTACCACAAAGGTGTCAAATTATTATCTACTCCAGAAGAATTCAAAGAAAAAAGCACAGAAACCTAGTACACAAATACGGGAATTTCTTTTTCTCATTTTGGATGATAGTTTTTGCCAATCAAACAAAATACAGGACACCTACCACAAATGCTATGGCATGTTTACACACGTACACAGGCACAAAAGAAACATTTTGAAGATGTACCTAAAGAAAAGGCAAAATACAAAAGTTTTCAGGAAAGGAGAAAACGAAAAGGGGAAAAAACACATTAACAAGGCTACAAGAATAAAAGTGGGGGAGAGGAAAACTGCTGAGTTTTCTGAATTGATGAAGAGAGGGCCCCTGCCTTGACTGAATGGCCCCTACTCCAGCTGTTTCACCAGTAAGAAACTTTAAAAATTGAAAATGGCCTCTTGTCTGAAAATTCCCACTATACCTTCCCAAACTAGAAGAAAGAGAATATTAATTTAAGGCTAAGAAGAAATGAGAGCTGAGAATTATTACAGTCTGCTTCACGTTTTTAAAACTGCACCCTTCTCCCTTTTTAAAATGGGAAGCAGACATGCTTTTTATTCCTCCCTAATGTAAGTATTCTCTTCCTCCAAGAAATTAACCAAGGCTGATAGTTTGGGAACAAGGCATAAGCAACTTTTGAAAAGTGGCTCCAGCCTTTTTGTTTGGGAAATCACCTCGAATTCAAAGTTGATACAAAGCTAAATTATATACATGTGTTAAACACATGTTTCAAATTCTGTTTGACAATAAAAATCTGTTTCAAAATTAAAGCAGGTAAGAATACTTAACCTCTGTGCATTTTATTATATTTTAATTATACCTCAATAAAAATTTTATAAACATTAAAGCAGGTATACAAAAACTGTCAGCCAAACTTGTTTTAGTCAAACTTATTTGAAAACAATAACACAAAACCCTGACTTGGTACAAATACCCCAGAAATGGTCTCACTTTGGGAAAGGCTCTGGGATCCTTCACAAATACCTAGAGAATCAGAGCATTTTCCTTGGAAGTAGTACTTTTGTACTTTTGTAAACACTATCCACAAGTTAGCCGTTTAGGCTTGTTAGCTGGGTAAAATAGTTACGAGTGTGTCCCTAACAAGCAAGTCTAGGAACAGGCACTGGACAATTATAAGCATGAGGAGTATTGACGTAGTAAGTTAAGATACTGTGATAGGAACTCAACCTTATGCAGAGCAAAGGAAGAGGGTAGTGAGTTTGACAGTATCTTAGATGTTGGTCTGCTGGTCTCTCCCCTGAAGATTTATAGATACCAGTGGAGTTAGAAATTTCCTACAGACAGGAGCTCTGGAAGTCACATGCTGTAGCTTCAAAAGGTAAGTAGTTTTAGTGTCTGGTAATCACGTTCTCTTGCAAATCTGTTAAAAAAAATGCAAGGATTCTTAAAACATATTTTTATTAATGTGTTACTATAACTGGAAAGCTGATCGAAAATATTTACTGAACAAATACTGTGGGCCCAGCTGTTCTAAATAACCTCTGACAAATCTGCAATTCCTGTAATGTGCTTGTAAGAACTAGACTTGAAATCTTTCAAAAAACTGCAAGCCAATTTAGTGTGGAAAAATTTCATTTTCACTGCAATTTCTCCTAACATATGCTAGAATCCTTTTGGTGTATGGGTTTTCCCCAGTACATGGGGCAAAGGCAAAGATTAGGTTATCCTTGGGAGTTTCTAATCACCTTTGCATTGAACTGTGGGAAAGAGGGTGTGGCTTGCTTTTACTGGGGCAATCCTGTCTAGAGTCATGCGGAGGATTTTCCCTGTCTAAGCTCTCTCTCTTTACCCTGACTTTTTCTTTATTCACGTCGCTTTCTGCTTCTGAATCACTCAATTCCAAATCTGGGCAATATCCATCATTTTCTTGATAAGGAGCTTTCCCTGCAGATCGCTTGAGAAGCTGCCTGCCCCAGAACTGCTCCTTGGGGTTCATATTCTTGGCTGGCTTCACACAGCACTGGAGGTCCTCTGTGGTCCTCACCCATTTATTGGTGGCCTCTTTAAAGGATCTGCCAAAATGTTCCATGGTGGATTTTCTAAAGCTGCCCTGACTGTGTGAGCTGAGCATGGACTCCTGATCACAGAACATCTCACTTGAGCTGTCGTTTTGGGTGATATTCTCAGACCAGCTGCCCTCTAGGCCATTGGCTTTGGCAGATTTTGAGTTAGGCTGACTTTTACCATTCCCAATGGAAGACTGTCCATGGAGGGCAGCCTGAAGGACCAGAGGCTTTCCCAGTGACTGCCCATGATAGAATTCTGAAGACGAGGTTCTCCAAGAAGGACTGGAATCCTTTACTTCACTTCTGGGATGGCTGAGACTGGCCAGCAAACGGTTACTCTTGCTCTCTAGTGGATATCTCGAATATGATTCCACTCTCATTTCCAGAGACTCCCGAGGCACCTGCATGCTCCTTATACTATGAATAGGGGAGTCGCTGTCAGGAGAGCGGGGTTGGTGATCAGTCTCTGTGGAGTTGTTTCGGCAGTTTTGCAGGGTTGATCTGGGCATTTTTAACTTTAAAGTTATTCTTGGTGGTGGGTAAAACAATGAGTTTTCTAGTGCACTTGTCAAAGGAAGTCCTGAGATCAAAAAGAAAGATTTATTTTAACAACTGATTTAAATAATGGCACATATGCTTATGGCAGAGTGAGTTCACACACCCACTCTCCCAAATGTCTAACAAGCCCCTGGCTTTGATATGTATGAGTATCATGGTGCAGCAGTTGGAGTGAGGTGGACTAGAGGTTGGGGCCAAGATTGCTATAGATGAAAAACTCAGCAATGAACACTGTTTGTTCTATGGCTCCCCACCTCTGCTCTCTCTCAGTCTGCAAAATAATCACAAAGACTTGTGTGCTATCTCCTGCACCTCCATCTTTGCCCTTCCATTTCTGTCTTTTTTTTTTATTTGAGACAGAGCCTCAAGCTGTCACCCTGGGTAGAGTGTCATGGCTTCACTGCTCACAGCAACCTCCAACTCCTGGGCTCAAGCAAGTCTCCTGCCTCCGCCTCCCAAGTAGCTGGGACCACAGGCACCCGCCACGACACCCGGCGATTTTTCTTTTGGTTGCAGCCATTATTGTTGTTTGGTGGGTCCGGGCTGGATTCGAACCCGCCACCTTAGGTGTATGTGGCTGGCGTCTTAGCCGCTTGAGCCACAGGCGCCGAGCTGCCCCTTCCATTTCTGAAAAGAATCACTAGCTATGGTTTAGACCTGGGTTTCCCTGTTTGTGTGTACACATGTGCACTCGTGTGAGCATGCCTACATGTGTCAGTGCTGCAAAGCACTTGGTTATGCCTTAAACATATACATTTCAGACCCCATCCTCCAATCTTTCCTGGTCTTCCTAAAGTAAGTCAAATACAAACCCTCAGAAATGTACACACAGGTTTTGGTAGATAGAGTATTATGTTGTTTTAACTTGATATTAAAAGTGGTAGTGGGTGGTTCCTATGAATTTTATATTCTTAATCTAGAATTTCCTGACTACAAATGACCATTATGGAGGTGGAAGGTTTTGTAGTGGTAAGGCCAGCAGAAAATCATCACAACGTTCCTGCCAATAACCAGCTATGGGCTTGGCCTGGGGAGTATTAGCAGTTACTTGGTTCTATTACCCTATAATCATCATTAGAACAAGTGTTCCTCTATCATCCTGAGTGCTCTGAAATTAAAAGAAGCACTGCCAAATAATTCCTCTTTGCATATGAACTTGACCTTGCCCATTATCATCTTCTGTAGGCTCACAAAAAGGAGATATAAAGAGGACAGCCCTTAGGTGCCCTAACGGGTAGCATTTATTCCCCAAGGGCCCATGCTGAACATCCACCTCTATCAAGGGTTGCCACCTTCTGATGCTGTGAGCTGTAATGAGGCTAACTCCTAACAATCAGAAGGCACATGCACTGGAATTTCCTCAGCACATGGGGACTTTCCCTGTTTTCCTTTGGTTCTCCTTTTTTTGCCTATCACTATTGCCCTTGTGGTTGAGCAGCCCCGTTGCCTCCACCATACCACTCTGATGCGACCCATGATACTCAGAAGTCCTCCAGAGCTTCTGATGCTTAAGTGACACCTAATTTCTGAGTGTCTCTCTTGCTCTATGGCTGCCCTTTGGCAGGAGATGATTCTGCACACTCCCTGCCCAGTGACCTTTAGTTGTCTAGGCTTTGTCACTGACCTCTGTGTTAAAAGAAACACAGTAGGTTACAGGTGTCAGTGAATATAATTGTGATGATTCCAGTCAAGCTTCCCACGCTTAGGGTACTATAATTATGCTCACCTGTCTCACTCACCAAACGGGCAGTATTTTGCAGGCAGGAATTCTGTCTTACTGACTGCTCCATCTTCTACCTCAGTTCTTAGTCCATAGTAGATGTTTAACAAATATTAGTGAATAAATAAAAAAATAAGAACTCAGATTTTCTAACTTCTGGCTAAGAATTTTTTTAATAGACTATTGTTAAGATGAACAATTCTGGAATTAAATGTTTTCTGGAAGCTATCTTACTGATTTCTAAATTGATTCAATAATCATAATTTCATGCCTCCAACTAATGGCCTCAAATATTTGTCTCAGACATAGGTGATTTGCCCTATACCTGCAATATCCCCAACCCCACTCTGGGATTTCTTACCTCATGAGTTGACAGTGAAACGGGACATTAACATTATAACAGGATTGGACTAAAGCAAATGGGATATTTGGCAAGAATTTTTGAAGATTTTTAAGTGGAACAACTGACATAAAATTAAATTGTTAAAATAGCACAGAAACAGAGTCTACAGAGTTGTTAGGACATTTTTATATACAGGTTACCTGCAGCAGTTTCTTGGTTAATAAGCTGGACTTGCAAACCGAAGATCTGTTCCTGCATTTTGTTTTGTGACAGTTTCAGTTTCTCTCGTCTGCTTATCATGTAGCACAGATTTCGGACCTGAAAGCCAAATTCCCAGAAAATAGAGACATAATGTTAAACAAATCTGGCAGCTTGGCAGCTCAGTGAGTAGGGTGCTTGCCACTTACACCAGTGCTAGAGGTTTTGAGCCAGGCCCAGGCCTGCTAAACAACAATGACAATTTCAACCAAAAATAGCTGGGCATTGTGGCAGATGCTTGTAGTCCCAGCTACTCAGGAGGCTAAGGCAGGAGAATTGCTTAAGCCCAAGAGTTTGAGATTGCTGTGAGCTGTGACACTACGGCACTCTACCGAGGGCGACATAGTGAGACTCTGTCTCAGAAAAAAAAAAATCTGACAATTCAAATTGTTTAGCTAAAATGAAGATACTTAAAGTCAGGTGGGGTAGGGAGGGTGAAGAGAGAAGACAGAACCCAAGAGCTGCAGAGTGAGAGCCATTCCACAGGAATTCATGCAGCATGCTCAATCATGGGATCATGGTTCCCATACTAATCAGCAGCATAAGCAAAATGTTCCAAAAGCTACCTTCTGAAGCCTTCTCTCCCTGCAATGTCATAGGCTTGGTAAATACCTTATGCTTATTTGCATAAGCAGGTTGGGAAGACTGAATGATGGTTTAACAAATCTGGCCTTCCCTTTATACCCCTGAGTACAAATGATGACAATGCCATACTCAGTACATTTTTTTTTTTTTT